AATTATTAGAAACTGAAGTGAAATGTCTAGTATCAAGAACATATAACCCTTGAATACTCCTACCCCTGCCAATCATCTTCATGGTGGTATTGTCCTGTATTTGAAACTGGCCCTGAGAGAAGTGCAAAGTAAGTTGAGAATCAAGAGCTAATGCACTAACTGATATCAAATTGAACTTGAACTGAGGCACATATAAGACATCATATAGAATCAGATTAGGACTTAGCTTGACTTCACCACACAGATTCACAAAAATTTTGCAGTGATTTGGCAGGGTAATGCTGGCATTGTCAACGGATCTCAAATTTACAAATGCATCAGCATTACAACAAACGTGTTTAGTTGCTCCAGTATCTACTATCCAAACTTCTTTAGTAGCAAAAACAGGGTCAACAGATATGGAATGACAAATACCTGAAGTACCTGTATTCTGCTGGTTTTCAATTTCAGTGGAATCTGAACTTGGCTGAGGTGCCAAATGATTAGACAACATGTTCATGAGCTGCTGATATTGAGTAGAATTCAGATTTTGGAAGAAATCCCCTGTGGTACACTGGTTCATGTGCTGGTTAGTGGATAACTGATTTACATGACTATTAGCATGATAGCCACGATCAACTTCTCTGGTTTTGGCTTAAATCCTGGGGGGTATCCATATATTTTGAAACACTTATCAACTGAATGACCATGAAACTTACAGTGAGTACAGTATGGTTTATCCTTTCTCCTGAAACTAGATGTATTTCCAAATCTAGATCCATCATTTCTAGGTCCATAATTCATCATAGGTTTAACAACTTCAGGTCTAACATCAGAACGATATGTTTCATTTCTGAAGCCACTACTCAATGTAGGCTTCACTGCACCACCAGATCTAACTGAGAAAGCTGCAGATGCACTAGACAGCATGTTTTCAGTTCCTAAGGTCTGTACACTTAATTTTCTCTGATTCTCTTCTTGAACCATAAGTGCAAAAACCTTATTAATAGGGGGAATAGGATCCATGAGCAGAATCTGACCTCTAGCTTGAGAATAGGACTCATTCAACCACATAAGAAATGACATGATATACTCCAATTGATGATATTTGTTCATCTCCTTCACTCCTTCACAAGTGCACTTTCCACAATTGCAGTTAGGCCTAAAATTAACCAATTCTTCCCATACTGTCTTTAATTTTGTGAAATAAACACTGATAGAACTCTGATCCTGTGTCAAGTTCATTAAATCCTTTCTCAATTGAAAGATTCGT